AGGTTTTGAGGACCGTAGAACCACCTCTTAATTGCTGATGTTCCCAGGTCCACCCTGACCCGGGGTGGTAGAACCTGTTAGGGTCCCAGCTATGGGCAAATAGTTAACCCTCCAAACTCGGATCAAAACATTATGAAAGTGTAAAAATAGGTTTTAATACCAGAAATACTTTGTATAAAAAATCATTACCAGCAATAGATTTTTGAAAAAATATTACCAGCAATAGATTTTTGAAAAAAAATATTACCAGAAATAGATTTTTGGAAAAGAAAAAATATTATCAACAATGAAAATTGTCGGCATTAAATGACCCATTGTGGTTGATATGCCGTAAAACAAACCAAACCAAACCAAAACCTATAGACTGGCCTGGAAACTCTCCCGATTTAAATCCAATCGAGAATCTGTGGTTAACCTGCAAGGAAAGAATTTGTGGAATGGAAATACGAAGTACTAACACGTTCTCTGGGTCATGTTTTATCGCATTTATTTATTGGTGTAAATACGAAAATAGTAAATAATAACGGAATTATTCGCTTTCTTTCAATTATTTATTCACAAGGGTGTAGGTAACCATGACCAAGTTGGGAAGGATATTCGAATCCAGTAACTATACTGCTAGCAAATCGCCGGCATACAGATTGAAAAATGTTTTCACTAAATATACAAAAATATAAAGGGGCGTAAGACAGTGATTTGTCTTCTCAACGGAATGATTCAACTTATACAGTGAAAAGATTCTGAGAGAATTAGAAGTCCTACAAGAATTGATTATTGGCGGCCACAACCTTAACACCATAACATATGAGGAACGCATATTGTTGATGTCAGGTACAGAAAGAATACTACAAGAACTACAGATAGTACTGAAGGGAAGCAAGAAGAAAGGGTTAAAAATCAATTACAAGACAGAATGAATGGTTGTTAGCAAAAGGGCTAGTCACACATGCAAATTACAAATTGGAGATGTCAAAATCAGACAAGTACAAAAGTTTAAATATCTAGAAAGTCTATTAGCAGAAGACGGAAAATGAAACACTGAAATCCCAATGCGATTGAGATAGCGAATGGTGCCTTCCAAAAGATAAGCAAAATATTAAGAAACAGAAAACTTTCGTTAGAAACAAAGAAGAAAATACTGAACTGTTATGAAATATCAGTCCTCCTATATGGCAAGAACAGTCTCATCACAGATGAATAAGAAACTTGAAGCAAAAGAAATGTGGCTCTACAGAAGGATGCTGAGAATACCATGGGCCAAATATGTGAGCAACGACAAAATTTTAGAAAAATGGTAACAAATAGAACACTCAAGCTCAAGAGCAGGATGAGAGAGTTGAAATTTTTAGGACACATTCTGAGGAAAGAGGTCTTGGAGAATTTGATACTCACAGGACAGATTGAAGACAAAAGGGACAGAAAAAACAACTCATAACCTACCTAGTGAGCTGGTGTAAATGAATGGTGGAGCTAGTTTTAGGAGAGATAACAAAAAGACACACTTTATTAAGAGCTACAAAGGACAGGAAATTGTGGAGAGCCATGATTGCCAACATCATGAAGGGACATAGTATATAAAGGAGATCCAAATGTGGTAAAGAGCTGCAATTATTGAACACGCTCTAAGGATCAAACTCACTACAATATTAACATTTTAGAGACATTTGCTAAATGCTGATAGCATTGTCCCCAAACGTGGAATTTATATTCAAAGTCACTCCAGTTCTGTTATGTCCCAGTCTGTACATATATATTGATTGATTGATTCATTTCTTTCTTTACAGCAATATCAACCTTTTTCTTAGATTGTAAGAATTTTTGAAGATAATAATGGTTGACTGATACTATTTCTATTAAGTAACCCATAGCTGGGGGATAAGAAGTGGATTTATATATTTTCTAAGGATATTTACATATAAGTGAATATAATAGCCTCGACTGGAATTAGAACTCGCTTCTCTGATTTTGAATTCCAAATCTTTATTCATTACATCACCCGAACATCCAAGCAGTCACTTCGATGATCGTAAGAGAACCGGTGTTTTAATGTTATATGGCCGTAACCTTTATAAGATAAAGATACATAAAGCGAAATAATTTTAAATATTTGCCCAAAACGTAAACATTTAAAACAGGAAATTATTTTTTCGATAAATAATAAACTATATATTATGTAGGCTACCATTCCGACCTTAAATTTTCCTCAGTTACAGGGCACTATGAAATATGCTCCAAGCTTTGATCTCTTAGTGTGTATCAATTTTCCCCCGAAGCCCTTTCTATTGGAAATTATTTTCCGCTCACTCTATCGCCCAAGGAGACACCTGACTCGGTTAAAAACTCTATTTTTACCAGATTTAGATTAAACGAAATCATGGAGTATTGCTGATATATCTCGGCTGAAACTAGAGCAATATTCGTATTGCAGATTTTATACTGTTTAAAGACAGCCTTGTGTGAAAGTGGAACTTATTCTCCACTCTGTAGCATCTTTTCTTTCAGACGCAAGCTATTACTATTTCCAATGCTAATGATCAGATGAGCTTCAGTTCCAGTAGCTGAAACCCTTACTATTAGAACACACCATCTTACTACGACGGAATCGAATCATCCCCATTTCTACTGTGCTTCAAATGCAAGAACTCCCACTCCTGTTTGTCTGATCCTCCAGCAAACACGCGTTTATATGTTCCACTACAGTATTGAAACTTCAATTTAAGGTTGGTTGCTTGTTTTGTTTTATGGCATATCAACCTCAGTGGGTCATTTAATACCAATAACATTTTTGAAATAGATTCATAGCGATAGTTTGGTTTGGTTTATTTTACGTCATATCAACCTCAATGGGTTATTTAATACCGACAAATTGTTTTAGTGCTGGTACTTTTTTTCCCCAAAAATGTATTGCTGGTAATATTTTTTCAAAAATATATTGCTGGTAAGAATAAACTAAATTATTTCTGGTATTAAAACCCATTTTTAAACTTTCATAGTATTTTGACCCAAGTTTTGGTGTTAACTATTTGCCCATAGCTAGGACCCTAACAGGTGCTACCACCCGGGTCAGTGTGAACCTGGGAACACCAGCAATTAAGAGGTGGTTCCAGGCTCCACACAACCTTCTGATCAGAGGCCTTGCTGTTGGACGTAGTTTATCGTCTTACCCAGGACGCGGATGTAGTTTATCGTCATACCCAGGACTGTTTCCAATTTAAGGATTAATCGTTATCTATCCACTTTATCCTCACAATTACATCCGCTATCATACATATAATACAACACATTTATCATTACCAAATTAACATAAGCCTCTAGCAGAAGAGTGAACATCAGCGGACTGAAACAAGCTAAAATGACCAGAATTGGGCCCTTGTCATAAAAAATGGAGTGGACATCTGTTGCGAATGAATGACACCCCCGCCTACCGAAGCAAATCTTTTACTCGCAACTCAAAGAAAGAAATCAGAAAATAGGGGATCAAAAGAAGAGGACGGCGTTCTAAAACAAAACATCAAGAAGTGTAACATCGATATCAACAGCTGGGAATCCACAGAAATGGACAGGAATCTCGAGAGATCCATTTTGAGAGACGGAAAAACAATCTTCGAATGTAAACGATCAGCCGAATTATAGGAAAGAAAGAAGACGACAGAAAGAAAGACATCAACAACCAAGGCCTAATCCACCGCAACAACCTCCCCTCAATGTTGATGGACCTTTTAAGCAAAACTTGATCTCATTAGCCGTCTCAGAGTTCACAAACCCAACTGACAGAGGCAAACAAAACAAGACCATCATCCTCAAGGGATAGCCACTAGGATCTTGAGATCTGAATCGGGTGAATTCTTGAAGAAAATAGTTTTGGGTGATCGCCGAGAAGCTCATCTTCAAAAATAATTGCTTAATAATAGAGAAGCTCTATTATTATTGGGTGCTTTGTATATGCAGCTTTTTGCTAGTCAAATCTGAATTTATTAAGCAAGCATTAGCTCACCGCTTGGCGAGTCCGCCTTTTTATTTTGATAATCATCTCCTTGAAAAAAAACATGGACAAAATCACTTTTAAAATAACGCCAACATTTCTATTTTATTCTTTTTTATCGTTACTGTTGTGGTAGGATCCACCTAATTTACATAGTGGAGTACCGACCATATAAATATGGTTGGTACCGGGAAGGAATCAAGAGATTCAATCCAGAGACTCTGCCCGACTGCGACAAATTCAACACATTCTCCAGGAACGGTCTTCCCAAGAATATACAAAAGACTATATGTAAATATTGTGTACCTTTCTTGTTTCAATACATTTTGTTCTAAGTACATTTTGTGTTGTATTATTATTCCATGCATTAGTCAAGTTTCAACAGTTACAAACAAAAATAATATTTCTTTAATATGAAGCAAAAATATAACATTGAAAACCTCAAACGTGGAAGGCGTATTACGAAAGGAACATTATACGAATCGGAGAAAAGCAAATAAAAACAGACAACAAACTTTTGTGGTCTTGTAAAAAGTTTCGACTCATTATTGTTGTTTTTCATGAGTAAAAAATATCAGCTGTCTATTTGGGCTCTTTTAACAGCGCGGTTAGACAGTTTTCAGACCCGGTTGAAAACCAGGAATAAAGAATGGTGATTTTGACGAGTAAGGCAACACACTTTTCTTAGTTCCCCTCTCGCTGTATTTGGCCACAGGCTAGACTGATTGGAACTGTTTTTACTAAAAGTATATTTTAAATACATCATTCGGTAAAAAAAGAAAAAAAAAAGAGGTTTAAAATATACAGTCGGCAATTTAATACTTCGCACTAATACTTTAGAGAAAAGGCATGAATTCTCGAACTTTGTCCTAGCTTCACAAAACTTTACAAAAATATTTTTTCACTTGTATGTCACAACGAATTTATATAAAGAAGCTTTGGAGAATTTAACATTCACAGGACATAGTGAAGTCAAGGCGGAAATAGTGAGTAACCTACTTAACAACTCTACGGAGCATACGATCATCTCAAGTTGAAACACCGGTTCTCGTACGATCACCGAAGTTAAGTAGCATCGAGCGTTGTCATTACCTACATGGGTGACCACTTGGGAATACCAGGAGCTGTAAATTTGGATGTGTGGGTGGTGTAATTGACAACCATTCGGAATTTGAGATCGGAGAGCCGGGTTCCAATTTCAGGCGGTTTCATTATATTCACTTACATCCAAATACCCTTGGGAAAGATATGAAACCACATCTTCTCCTCCCAGCTATGGGTTAATTAGTAGAACTTATACCGGTAAGTAATTATTATCTCTTAACAATAATTCTTTAAATAAGCCAGAAAATGTTTTAGACTGTAAGAATTATTGCAGTCTGCAAAGGTTGATAAACCGTAAAAAACAAATCATTCAATCAAAAACAAATTTGCGTGAATGGATGGCAGAATAATGACAAATTATGAAAGGTAATAGATTACTTTGAGAAAAAATAAGGAAGTTCTGGAGAGATATAATCAGCCATATTTAAACGGTAGATGGCGCATAAAAGATGCGGTATTGGTGGATGGAATAGAGCTTGAGGATTCAAATAAATTAGAAGGAAAACATCCCATATTGTAGAAGCAAAAAGAAATAAAATAAAAGGAATACATAAAACATCTTCTACATTCATTGTCAACCTCGACAGAGACCAAGTGAAAGACGATTATTCGCGATAACTTGTATTCTAAAAGGAAATGACATTGCAGAGCAACTCTGGTTGCTGTCAACTGGTTAAGTTGCAATTTAGGAATTTGACTCCATGATATAAGCCAGCTGTCTCGAAGGGGGAAAAAAGTCAACCTTCTATCTTGTTTATATATAAAGCCGATGTTTTATTTTTCGAGCTTGCAGGGAAAAAATGGGCGCTGCTGTTTCAAATCAAGTGTAATGGCCCCTCTCAAAATTGACAATGAGCATCAGAAGATTTACGGTTGGAGAGGAGTTAGATAATATTGATTTGTTCAAGTGCTCTCTTTTCCTACATTTTTCCCTATGAGGCATCGTGGCATCTCAGTAACAAGACAATGTTTTTCATTGATTTTCATTGGTTTGGGCTAATTTCCTCCCTTTAAGTTATCTCTTTATCCTATTCAGTCTCTTGTATTTTGGAATCAACAACAAACGAGGACGCAATGGATGAACACCTATGCATATCTGTACACGAAGGCAACAGAAAATGCAGGAACACAGGAAGATATGTGAAGGAATAGGTAACAGAAAACACGGTCCAGTTATCATAGCTATTAAGGTGTTAGCGGAAGGGTAAATTAGCACTAGCTGTCTTAGCCTAATTTGAATTCGGACTAACGGATCTTTCGGATGTATGGGTAGTGTAAGATGTATCATCGCGGAATGTGGAATCGTTGAACCAAGTTCTAATATATATATAACTTGGATTATTCTATACAAGAAATCATCAATTTCTTTCGATCAGCGAAAATATGGATTTTATTTTATCAATTATCAAGGAAATCGTATTCACTAACATGTGTGTAATTGGCAGACATCAACGGCTACCACTGAAATCGACTCATTTATTCCAGTCTTTTGATGTTATCATGTAACGTAGTACATCTCAATGTTTTTCCCTTCCATAAAAGGTGGTGGTGTTAGTGATTAGCTTTCCTGGCAGAGATAATGCCACGAGAACCTAATATTGTTTCGCCTTTGTTCTGAATATGGCCTGATTTGACATCAAGACATCTTTACTCCACTTAACATAGGAATCCCGAATATGCATTTGTGTTTTATTATGCACTGCTTCTCTTGAGAAATGCCTGGATCACTCTTTTCTCTTCTGCTCCAATTTTTTCGTTAAATATCAGGGTAAACTGTAATCACTAGACTTGAGTTCGTAACCAGTGTAGGAAAATACTGTTAAATCCAAGCCATGGACAAAGCATCATTAAACTATTTAAGTATCTTTCACTAGAAGTCATAGCAATTCACAGATCATAAAGAAATGGCATCTCTTGTAATTAATCCGACATCTTAAAGGGACATAACCTTTAAGAAAAACAAACATTATGCTGTTTACAAATCAATGAAAATCTCTTTGGAAAGATTTTTAAACAATGCCAATTTTACTGCTCGATTGCTTCCAAAGATTATTAAACAAAAACAATATTTTATCAATCGGCAGCAAAATTTACGTTGAAAACCTCATAGAAGGAAATATTGAGTGTTTTGTTTTACGGCTTATCATACCTTTTGAAGGTTATTTAAAGCCAAATTTAGATTATAATATTTTTTGAGATAATAATTTGTTGGTTTTAGTTTAACTGAATATCAAACATTATGGGTTATTTAATACCGAAATCTAAATATTTGGTACGCAGTTTTTATTTTTATTTCTTGGAGATAATAATGGTTTATTGATCCAAGTCTTACTAACGAATAGTGGAACTCGATTCTCCGATTAACAATACCGTCCATTATATAATTATCCATTACACCAACAACACATCCAAGCTTACAGCGCCTGGTATTCCGAAGCGGTCACCTACTCAGATACTGACAGGGCTCGATGTTGCTTAACTTCTTTGATTGTACCGGAACCGGTGTTTCAACGTGATGTGGCCGTAAGCGGGAGATAATAATGATTTACTGACACCCCCCTCTAATTAACCCATAGCTGGTGGGAGAAGAGGTGGATTCATAGCTTTCCCAAATGTATTTACCTGTAAGTAAATATAAAGGACCCGACTGGAATTAGGACTCGACTTTCTGGTTTCCAAATCTGAGCCGTTATCGATTACATCCCACGCACATTTACGCTTACAGCATCTGGTGTTCCCAGTGGGTAACCCATATAGGTGACAGGGCTCGATGTTGCTTAACTTAGTCACCTTGCGAGAACTAGCGATTCAACGTGATTGTGTCGTAAGTAAAAAGGAGAGTATTATCCGCCAATGAAGAACATATTTAAAAAGATAATCGATTCAAATCTTATAGAAAGTGAGAAAATCCGATTTCAGTTAATTCGAGCGATAGAGAAAAAGACTCATCGCAATATACACAATATTATGGTTAATTAATCCTTGGAATCTTTTGTAAGTTAATAAGTCACTCATAACACTGACGTGCCTCCCTTGGGGCTTTTCTATAAATATTTTCACGGTATCTGTTCTCATGAACTTTCACTTTTGAGGCTAGTTTTTGGAATTGTTGTTTTACCCCCGCCGCCACAGACAATGAATTGTAAATATGGGAACTAGTTAGTATTTTCATAGAGACAATGCGGTATTATGGTGGTTGTAGTAAGAAAGGTACGTATGAATGTGTTGTTTTGGTGTAAGTAATATCGTTCGTACGATTGGCTCAGTGTTTGCGGCTAGCTAAGTTATAGTTAAGACAGAAGAAGACCGTCCTTTCCCCAATCCTCTTTTCGGCCTTGTGCCATATTTCGGTATTAAACAGAATAAATATCACTTTCACACGTGGTACCTCGATCGCATGAATTTAAGCGTACAACTTGATTGGTAATTAGGTCTCATCGTTTCACTTGAGATAATTAGGTGTAACTGTCAGTTCTATTCTTATAGATTCTATTCTTGCAATTCTCGCCTGTTGAACTCTTTTCCGGTTTCTCGACACTTAAAATCTATAAATATTTAAATGCAACGTCAATCGTCATTTTATATCCTCCTGAACCCTGTTCTTTTATTGTCCTTTCTTCTAACTAAAGTCTGCTAATTTTCTTTCATTTTCTGTAACCCCTCACTTTGCCTCGGTGGGGGGGATGGCTAAATAATTGCTAAATTATGGAGTAGTAATAGGGTTGTAGCGCTTCACCTGTGGAAAAAGTGGGTGTTAGAACTGAAAATAATTAAATGCCTGCAAGTCCGAATAAGTTTAGAAACGCTAGAAAGTGAGGATTGGTCAGTTGCAGCCATACTCAATGTTTTGGTTTGATCTGGCTCTTGTCATGAGAGAGCGTAGCAGGAGTCAGGTATCTCCGAGTGATAAAACGAGCCGATTATTTTACAGTATTGAGGCAAAGTGGAGTAATGGATAGCGGATCAGTTTGAGGAATCGAAGATCCGAGTTCGAATACCAGTTGAGTTCATTGCATTCACTCACGTGCTATTACACTTGGGAAATGCATGAATCCATCTCCCCACTCCCCGGCTATGGATAAAGGGGAACTGACTGGACCCTATAACCTTGTTTGGCAACCAGTAAAAGAGAAGGAAAAAATTTTGAATTCAAACCCCCTGCTGCCTTGTAGGCGTTGCCTCTTTAAACATCTGAGAGAAGGGACGAGGTAACCTCAACATCCTTTGTGCAAAAGGAACTGGAAAGCCATTGCCTTATTCTGCCTTGAATGTCACCAAAAACTCAAACTGTGAGGTGGAGGGGAATGGTGACCACAGCAGCGGCGCCCCCCCCCAAAAAAAAACAAAACAAAAAACTAGGTGTAGGCCGACAACAACAGTATTACCTAGATTTATACACTTTAGCTAAAAGTCTCAAAAATTCACAATTATGACTACACACGAATCCACTACAATATAAACATACATGAGACACTTGCTAAATACTTCTACGTGGAGAGACCCCCCACCCACCTTATCGACACCTATGAGATACATTCAGAAAGTGATACCCTTGCTTGTGAACAAGAAAAGTTTCCATCTGCTAGGACTGGCACATAATCAGGCTGCAACCTGTGGCGGCTTGCTTCAAAATTGTTTGCTGCCTGGTGGACGGTGATACATAAAAACTGGTCGTTGCCAGCTTCTATGGTCCATATGTGATGGTCTTTTTAAAGAAGCTTTATAAAGCTTCCCCATGAGACACGCCCGGTTGCTGCCATTGGCACTTAGTACAGTAATATTTTAACCTAGCTTGCTAACACCTGTGCCGTAGAGAAACGTTTTAGAAGCCTTGTGCGTAAAAGTAATGAGGTAAGATGGAGGTCTAATTTATTTTTCGATTCTATTCTGCTACACCCCAGTTTGTAAATATGTAGAAGTTTCTAACCAAACGTTTAGGGATTGTGAAAATATAAAATAGTTTTTCGTAGATCTAATTTCTACAATTTTCTTTGGATACATGATACTTCTTGAAGCATTCCTTGCATGATGGGTTTGTATATTCTTGGCATCAAGTTTCCACCACATCTTTTTGTCTTTGGCTCATTCTTACCTATTTATTTGCAGTCAAAGACGCTAGAAATTGATGTAACCTTATGACCACGATTAAATATTAAACTCGGAAATGTAAGGGTTACCAATTAGTCTTATAAACTCGAATCATATTCTTGGAAAATGTTTAAATCATTAATTTATAATACCTACTCATATTTGTTTATACTAATTTTCATCCAATACTAAACCCAATAGTCACACAAATTAGTTATGTTAGGTTTGTTTTGTTTTACGGTATATCAACACCTCAATGGGTTATTTAACGCTGACAAGATTTTTATTGTCGGTAATATTTTTTTCCAAAGATGTATTGCTGGTATTAAAACATTTTTACACTTTCATAGTGTTTTGAACCCAATTTAGGGGCTAACTATTTGCCCATAGTTGGGACCGTAACAGGTGCTACCACCCCGGGTTAGGTTGAACCTGGGCTTGAGGACCAGTAGACGACCAACGCAAGAGGCTTCCTTGAGAGAATACACCATCATGCGAGGTGAAAGTTCAGGGTCTGCTCTGTGATGGTGGAACATTACTAGTTTGGTTTTGGACGTATTGAATTTCACAAGCCAGCCCTTCTCTCCTAGATGCCCTATCAGTTGGGTCTTCATAAAGCGCTCATTGCATCTGTGCAGAGGGGTAAAACCCCCGACGAATGAGGCGTCCTGGGTATGACGATAAACTATATCCGGCAGCAAGGCCTCTGTTCAGGAGGTTTTAAGGAGCGTGGAAGCACCTCTTAATTGCTGACCAGGGGTGGTAGCACCGGTTAGGGTCACAGATATGGGCAAATGGTTAACCTCCCCTAACTTGGGTGAAAACATTATGAAAATACAAAAAAAAGGTTTTTATAGTAAAAATGTCAGCAATACATTAAAAAAAATTACCAGTAACACTTTTGACTCTCGATAAAACCATCTTTAAAACATACGCCAATGGAAGCTTGTCTACAAACTGATTTCTTATAAAGAATACATGTTGTATTCATACGAACCTATGCTCAAAATCTTGTCGGCATTAAATAACCCATTGAGGTAGATATAACGTAACACAAAATATACGAAATCAAAGTTTCCCTCATTGTACCACCAGGCCTAGATTAAAGGAAAGGTTCTGGTCATCTAAACCTTTGGAGGTGCCCCTATTTAAGGACTAATTAAGACCCTTAGTTTAACTACTACCCACTATATTAAAGAAAAGATTAAATGGTACATTAAAAAATGATTTGATAATATTTAAACTGTATTTAGAAATACATGTCTTGATAAAGTAGGTAAAGATGAAATAGTTATTTTATGTGGAAATCCCAAAAGGAAAATCCACGGTTTCTAAGGAGCACTTCTCACTGTAGGTTTGATATTAAACGACAATTTTGAATTACTACTAAAATGAAAGTTGGCCGTGTCCAAAACAATATAGCAATGACTACTGTACTGAAGAAGAAAGTGATAAAATTAATTCCACCTTTGAGTATAACTATGAGATATTAATCAAAAGTTACCAGAATTTGAACAGACAAACATATAGTATGGCCATTCACAATGGACAATCATTTAAAATTTAAACGTTTAGCGTAAACCGTAGGTACAATTACGAAGGAAAGGGCGAAAAATAGGTTTTAGGCCAAGTAGAAAAAAATGGTCATGTTTTCCTTTCTTATTACATATTCCTGATATTCCGACGCATTTTCTTCGAACATGAGGTTGTCCCTCATCCCATTCTGAAGAGGACTAACATAAAGAGGCGAATCGCATAGTTTGTCATATTATTCTCACATTTGTTCGGCTATTATTCTACAACCTAATAACACACACACATACATACATACGCACACACACAGACATATATATATATATATATATATATATATATATATATAATTCATTCGAAAATTATAACATAAATATGTTATAAAATCACAACAAAAATAGCCATATTGTTTCAAGTTCTGGTGTCTCAGCAAGTGATGGCGTTGAATGTAGAATAAAGAGTTTATTCTACATTCAACATTATGCTGAGACACTAGAAGTGTTGGAAACAAATCTATTTTTGTTGTGATTTTATAAATATATTTATGTTATAAATTTCGAATATATTATATTTGCTCTACTCTGTATTGAGCACTCTTTTAAGAATAGTATTTTTTTGTTATTGAAATTTATTCCGTATATACCAATTCCATACTTATATATATATATATATATATATATATGTAGCTCTGTGTGTGTGTGCGTGCGTGTGTGTGTGTGCGTGCGTGTGAGTGTGTATGTGTAGCAATCACCAAAAAGCGATAATTGTTACTCCGGGCTTCATGCTAAGAAAATTTTCAAACGAAAAGATCGATGGAAAAGCAAGAAACGATCTTGCTAAATCCCATTGGGAATATACAAAAACTAATGAAACTAAAAGACAAGTATCATTTAACATGGAAATAAA